TTGTTATGTTGTTCGTTGTCTATTTAATTTTTCAAGTATTTGACATTACGTATATAGTTTAGCTTATGTAAAATTGAATGAAGCCAGTGTTCGCATCCGTCTTATAAAACGGAATTTCATTTGTTTCTTATTATTGCTTTTTGCCATGTAAGCAATGTATCAGTTACATAGTTAAAATTATTATAATTTATTAATCATCGCCAACCTATTTTGCAGATCTAATTACACTTACTATTACAATTATTCATTGGGAGTAGGTTTTTTTTTAAATGTTATTGAAACACGTTTCCAATTATAGCATGTAATATATATTTACACACTATAACGTGTTAATTTATTGTAAAATATATAGGGCTCAAAGATTGATAATTTACTGATAATTTTAGTTTCAAATGGTTGAAGTAAATTTGTACTACCTATACTATAAGTAACAGTTAGATTGTATGATTATTTATGGTAGAGTTCGCGTATTTATTCCATTTTTTTATAATATGAGTATATTATAATTAAATGTTCTTTTTTAAAGAGAATGATAAAGAAAGAACTCAAAAATTTAAAGATCGAATTTTATGTTTATTTACCAAAATTTTGATTAATGTATATCGCCAAAAAGTGAATTCTAACGAAATGTAACTAAATAAATTTTTCCATTAGAAAGTTATATATGTATATCGTAGTTATGTACATAACAATAAAAATTAGAACAATACTTATATTGGCTGATGCCGATGAGCAGAGCTCATAAACAGCTAATTATAATAATTACAGTTACATAAGTAAAATAAGTACAATTAATTTTAATTATATCATAATGAGTCACTAGCTCAATTATACCTTAACTATATATTGTTTTCCCTTAAATTCCAACTCCAGCTTTCTTGGTCGGTCGGTGCGAATTCGGCGGAATGATCTTGTGTATTATCGTATACTTACTTTGAGATATGCACCGACCCTAAGGATCAGGTTTCATATTGTGGCAAATTATAATAAGATTTAATTGTAGTGGGTGTGGTGGAAATACACTGCGTATGACGATGTCCAACTTCTACAAATGTATGTAATGTCTCAGTTTATGAGTCAAGTAGAGAGACAAATGATGGTGTTATTGCATTACAGTGCAACTTATAAACAAGGTTTAGCGTCAGATTAAATTTACGCTAACATCGCAATTAAAGTATTAGTCCATATTCATGTTACACAGAGAATAAACAAATCTACTATCTACTAGGAGCAAATATTACTCCAGTAGAACTTCATACTAGGTTAACCTTTGTTAAGTCTCTGTTTAATAATATGAATTTTGACTAATACGAAGAGCAGTCTCAGCGTAAATTTACTCCAACGCTAGACCTTGTTTTTAAGTAGCACTGTTTAAGTTTAACTTAATGATAAATAAAGTATATAGAGGTCTCATTTAATATAACAAGAAGAGCTTGAATTTAGAGCTTTAGTTGAATTTAAGGGCTTACTTTGTAATTGTTTCTATTTTTAAATTTAAGTGTATCCTATTATGAAAATTTGGAGGTAACAAGTGTGTTGTAGGCCATTTAAGAGAGATACTAAACTCCGTTTTAGAGCAAAATCGGACAGTCCAGTCCACTTCAATATGTAAATGCTTTTCGAAGTACTATTTACATGTTATATTTTTAATTTTAAGGATCGGTACAAATTTGGCGAAGGTCTGTGACGACGGATATTCCGTCGAGTGTGTAAGGTTGAATGTCATTCTATATATTTATCAGTTCTGACATTACGCGATGCATCTTCCATTAAGTATCCACCCTAAATAGGTGTATTGCCTAGTTCCTAATATTTCAAAGTGTTCGTTACGCGAGACTGATATTTATGTCAAATTAATTTTATTTACGTGACTGAAATTTTAATGTGATATTTTTATTCCTCCTTTCGAAATAAAATAATATTTCACATATATTTGTTTTTTATTTGATTTATTAATAATATTAATGCGATACTTGAACTGTATGTGATTGTTATGTAGGGTTTATAGTGTTAATGTTGATGAACTGTGTTATGTTTGCCTAAACAGATATTTGATGTGACTTAAATGCTCTGTTATCTATTACTATAATTAATAACATGGTATCCTATGATCGTTAAACGTGTAAGGATTTTTATTCGGATTAGTAATGTATATGTTGTGTCTTGCCTCAATGAGATTTGCAGAAGAAGATAGAGAATGTGAGCCTGGCGCATATTTCTGGAATTATTTCCACTCGGTCTATTCAAGAAATATGTTTAAAATGCTTAAAACAGATTTTATGTTTTTTTAGGAATGTGTTTTCTAAGGTGTATCTTACAGAAAGTTTAAAAAAAGTATTAATACTAAATACTAAAAATATTTGTATCATAAAGACTAGTAAACATAAAAGATTAAATTATTATTATCATAATTCTTCCCGAGTGCAAATTCGTTCTTGTTGTAGTTAAATTTTTTTTTGTACAAACTAATTGAGCTGTGAGTAATTCAATAATTTCAAAGTTTTTAATAAGTATAGGTGAAAATTGTCATTCCTCTTATCTCCAAAGCTATTGAACTTAAAATTTTGTATTTTATTTATTTATGTCTTCGTCATTGGATGGTTCCTCAACCCAACTCATAGCACTTTTCTGATGTTAACTAGGCTTCGTGATACAAGTATCGTAAGCGTTTGAAAACTATGGCCTGGGAGGAAATTTGTCATGAAAATCTTAGTTGGTTTACGGTCTAAGAGGGTTTTGTGGTCGAAAATTTACGGCTACCTATTAAAAAAAAAGGTTACGAGAAGAAGGTCCGTCTAGGCTTCTTCCGGGAAATATCTGGTAGAAGAAATGCTCCTTCTCTTCCGCCAAGATCAAGATTTTTTACAATTTTCACATGAGCAATTAACAATAATATAGACCATAAAAATGTGAAGTCACTACTCTATTCAGGTTGTGGACATGCAAGCCTATCGTGCTCAACGCTGAATTTGCTCTTGACCTTGATGTCTGTCGAACAGCCGTCCTGTGGAACAGCTATGTTGCAATGGCCGCACCAAGGATCATCAGGTGGACCCGGCTCTTCGTTTATGTTCTTGGTTGTGATGATAGGTTTTTTTTTAGTTTATTCTAAAACTTAAGTAGCTAAACACTTGTATTATGAAAATCCGAAACAACAAAGGTACCACAGCACCTAGAAGTGAGGCAATATAGAAAAGTCTATTTTCTATATTGACGCGACCGGAAATCTTTCCAAGTAATCGGCTGCTGTTTTTTTTTTGTGTAGAGTTGTAAAGTACATAAACATTTTTATAGTGCTAAGCCCAGGGCCCGATTAAGATATTTAGCTCCGCGAAAAAGTAATTAAATGAGGGCGAGAATTGTACACACGTCAGGTAACCAATAATATGTAATTTTTGACCTTTGATTTTGAACTCTTTTCAATGCATTAAAGTTGAAAATCATGTAGAGAAATTTGTGTAACCTTTGTACAACGCTGCAGCCTAAACGTCAAAGTTCTGAATAAGGTCCCTATATCGCACTGAACTTGATATCAGTTTGAAAACTTGTGGAACTAATTTTTGTTTTGCCACTATCGAATTGAAGTAGTTTTGATTTTAATAAATTTTAATATTAATTTATTTCTGGACCTCTTATTTAAACTCTTATTTTTTTTAATCATGCACTATGACAATGACACAGTGACGTGAAATCTTGTGTTTGGTTTTTAATTTATTAAAGTTTAAAGGTTCTAACCATCGTTATATCTGCTCCTATCTCTCAAATATTAAAAAAATACATCAGAAAATAACATCCATTAAAAACATTTTCTAGATTCTTTTGTAGTTTAATGTAGAGGATTTGTAACATTTCTCTGCTCTGTCGCGTCGTTCTTGATAGAGCGGCAGTGGTCACGTTGAGGCATCCATTTCAATTTTAGCAGTGGACATAGCTATCTTCACATCTTTTGCCATCTCTCTCTAGTTTCACGTGGTCTGACACCCGGTTTTCTACGGCTGATTTCACTTGATCTGCCCACCGTATGGATAATCTTTTGAGGCGTGCTTTGGTTCCTTCTATTTTTCCTTACACGATCAGCTGTTCTATTGACTTATTATTACGTCTACTGACATGACCAAAGTGATGTTTACCATGCCGTTGAACAGTTTATCAGCTAGCAATTTCTGTAGCGACTTTAAAGATTGCGCGTTAAGACAAAAAACTGTGTCTATGGACAGAGCATCCAAAACTGATTTCAATTAATTACTTGCAAACTATCATTATAATAAAAGCTGGTCCATGCTCTTGGCTACAAAGTGACTCGTATATTTGTAAATTTTCCTATTAAATTCGATAAGTAGAACATGAAATGGAAAAAATGAGAATGTTAGAGCAAATTTTTTTCTATAGAAAAAATATTATAAATTTATGTTTTGGATATGCTAGTCCTCCTACAAATATGATGTAGTTTTAATCTACACGCTCTCTAGAAATATACATAATTATGGAATAATCTATGAAACACTAAAATCGAAATTGTAGGACGTCTAAAGTAAACCACCGTTTTTATATCGTCAAGATGAGATTGTCGAGTACAAGTCTCGGTATCGATATGAAAATTTTGTCATTGTTTTGTTTTGTTAATGTTTTTTTCTTATGAATATGAAATATATTTTTTAATTTTCAAATATCACATAGGTACATTTTCTAATAATTATTCGAAAGTGAAAACTTACATAACACAGTTCATTTTAATACTACCGATCCAAAAATGTTTTTTCCGCAGGTATATCCGAACTTATATATGGTAAATATGTAAGCACCGTGTGTTGTGGCGCTCAGTTCTTTGGCAACTGATCAGGTGTGAAGATATAGATAGATGTAGTGGCTAAAAAGCATTATTTAATGTTGAAAAATGTTGGAAGCCAACAGACACTGGTTGGCCATATCTGGGTGAATGTCTAAAAATAAATTGTATAAAATTAAGAGTTCATGATTTAAAATCGATGTTTTGTTTTCAGGTATAGTTCGAGAAACAATTTACCTCCACCTATCTATCCTTCTATGGGTGCAAAACCAATGCTCCCAATAGATAATCTCCCAATTCAAACGGAACCACCACCAGGTTACCGTGGACGGTATGAGCCTCCACCATTTGAAGACATACCACCAGGCGTGGAACCGCCTGTTCCTGGATTTGAACCGTCGCCATTTGAGAAACCACCATTCCATCCACCTGGGCTTATGGATAGGGAAAGACTTCCACCTCCGAATTATAGGGAATCTTATAGGCCGCCATATGTGGATGGTCCGGGAGGATTCAGAGACGTTCCCATTGCCAATGTTCCGAATGAAATACCCATTCATGTAGGTGATCAACCAAGATATCGTGATAATTATAGATCTTATCGTGATCAAGGCCAAATGCCTTTTAGAGATGGTCAGGGTTATCGAGACGTACCACAAGGGCCACCGTATAGGGAAGGTAACTTTAGAAACGGGCCGCCATTTAGAGACAATTCTTATAGAAATAATCCCTATAGAGATGGTGGTTACAGAGACAATCAGCCTCATAATTTCCGTGAGGGAGCCCCACCCTTTCGCCCTCCTAGTACTGATCCACGGGAGCAACCACCACCCAACTACCATGATCCAAACTATCGTGACGGCTTTAGAGATGATAATAATGTTGTTAGGGATCATATGCGACCTGGTTATAGACAACCTAATGTACGTACTAGAGGAGGTTCAAGGCGTAATCCGAATGTTGAACAAGAAAGACATGGCCGTGAAAGAGAGCGTTTTAATGAGAATAGAGATCCAGATAGAGTCAGAGAATTAGAAAAGCGACCTGGATATGACAAGCCCCGTGATATGCGTGAGGGACGTGAGGATCGGTCTCGTGATTATGAAAGAAGTCGCGACCACGATAAAGAAAGGGACCGGGATCGAGACATGACACCTGAAAAGAAAAATCGCGGCTCACCTAAACGTTATCGAGAAGTAAGAGATAAGAAACGAAGTGAATCCAGAGGAAGGTCTCGCGATAGAGATAATAAACGTGAAAAGAAAGAAGAGAGAACCCGAGAGAAGTCTTCTGCAGACAGGAGTAGAGACCATAAAGACAAAGATAAGAAGATGAAAGAAAGGAAAAAGAAGAAGAGAGAAAAAGAAAAGGAAAAAGAAGTTGATAAGAAAAAGAAGCGCGAAAAGAAAGAGAAGAAAGATAAAGACTTTAAAAAAGAGGACGAGAATGGAAATGAGAATATTAATTCCAAGCCTGATTTGAAACAAGAATCAGAATTAAAAAATGTTAAACAGGAAAGCCCTATTCAAACTGAAAACATTCATCCGGACGAGAATGTAGTTAAAGCTCAATCGCCGAAAGTAGAATCTGAAAGAAAATCTCTGAACGAATTATATGGTGATGACGTGGAAGCTGTAGATAAAGAAATTATACAAAATTATGTCAAAGCCGAAGAAGATGGCAAAACGAATGAAAAGAACATTGAAGATATAGCAGCTAAGGAAGAACCATTTGATGGCATAGAACTCCAAGCTAATGCTGATGAACTAGATTTGAAAAGTGATACCGAAAACGTTAATCAAAATAAAGAAATGTTGGCACCCTTACCAGAACTGTCAAAATGGGAAGTGGACGATGAAACTACTGATAAAATTAAAGAGCCCGGTGAAATCACTTCGCCTGAAACAGAGGAGGATGGTGGTAAAGTTACGTCAGATGTAATAAAAAGAGCAGAGAATGCTATATTCGCGAAGGCAATTAATTCTTTAAGACCTATAGAAATAAAGAAAATAAGTAGCGATCGTCTTAAGTTATATGGTGACGAACAAACTAAGGGATCTATGAATAACATTCAAATTACTGTTCCTGTCACTGATTCCGAAGTAAGGGGGATTGGGGTTAATGACAAAAAAAGATCTTCCAAGACACCGCCCCCCAGGTTATCAGTTAAAGAGCGACTAGGTGGAAAAATAGAAGATGTACGTAGAACCAGGGAAACTCGCGTTGTACATAGTACCGTAGAACGAGTAAAGTCGCGATCAAAAACTCCTAAAAAAGAACAACCATACCGTAGGGTAATGGTGGATAGAGAAAGAGTTCGAAAACCTGACACGTTTAGTAGGCCTGATTCTCTAAAAAGTGAGCGTAGAATAGTATCAGAGGGTTCAAAACCCATTGATAAGTATCGTCATAGGAGTCCTGGGGGTGAAAACAAAAAGAGGGATTTGGATAAAAAATCCAGAGAAGATAAAAAGGGTAGTAATATTGATAGTAATAATTCACGATTACGTCAAGAGAAAGAGGTCGCTACAGACGTCAAGAATCAAAATATAGATCGCGAACGAAAGAAATCTATCCTAGATGAAGCGCATTTTGAACCGGATTATGACGAAACCTTGGAATCTGATAATGAAGCCAAAGACGAGGGTACTAAGAAAAGGGAACATTCAACTTCACCAAGTGGTCCCATTGAAGCAAAGAAAGTAAAACTTGAGGCCGAAACAATAAAATTGGATCTAACAAATGTGAAAAAGAAACCAGAATCAGACAGTGAATCTTCTAGTGAGTCTGATGATACGTCATCGTCATCGTCTTCTGATGCACGTAAGAAGAAAAGAAAGAAGAAGCGTGCAAAGAAAAAGAAAAAGCGGGCGGCTAGTGACAGTGACAGCGAGTCAGACTCCGACTCAGACGATCATAAAAAGAAAAAGAAGAAAAGGAAACATAGGAAGAAGTCAAGCAAGAAGAAGAAAAAATCCAAACACAAGTAAAAAGCTTCTTTGTGCGGAAGACTACACATTTATTGTATTTGTTTATAATGAAGAATTTAAATATTAAGTTCCTTTCATTTTGCTATGTACAAGTGATGTGTTAACATAACTAACTAGCTTAGTAGGATTGTAAAGGGTATATTTACTCATATAAATTTAATTCACAGTATTGGACCTGTGTGAAAAATAAAAAATAAACTTCAATTTATGACATATTAGTCGTTTGATTTCTGTTGGTCTAACATGATGATTTCTGTTGCACTTATAATCGAAAGGCGATAATCAATAGATCTATTTAATTCGTAATTCGTAAAGTGATAGAAAAATAATAAAAAACATCTGTAAAGTCTGGGGATATCTCTAAAGGACATCGCCGAAAATGGCCACAATACCACTAAATATTAATACTTCAATAATAATTTCTAATTTATTTATTAAATTGGAATCAAATATTTATTTGACACGGACAAGCTACGATCCAAAACCTATAATATATAAAGCTTAATTTTAATATTTAAAAGTACTTTAACAGTAACATTTTTATTCGCAAATATTCACATTCACTATACTCAAATTCTGTTGAGTCAGATGGATGTAATTTACACGTCAGATCAAGAAGATCATTTATTTTTATTAGATAACCTTTAAATCATCAAACACAAAAACATTAAATTGACCGAAAATAAACTTAAATTTTCTAAAAGCGCCATCTCTTGGTGATTTTCCAACTAAAACATAAGGACATAAAAACTGAATATTATACAAACTAAATTCATTAACTGTTGATAATTCACTCTTGTTTATTCAGAAAGATTGATATTCATACGACATATCCTAAAAACTTCTTTGTTTCTATTACATTACCTTTATATTTCTCGTAAACATATCAACATCATGTCATTTATGTATGTAAGGCGCCATCTTTTGATGTAAACCATCAAAAAGCTATAGGTTTTTTAATTTTAAGCTTATCAATAGGTATATTATTTAACTATTAGAATGTTTTTTTTTTCTATTGATTGATTTAGAAACTTTTACAAATCACAACGAAAAACCGACTTTCTTAAAGTTGAGTTTTTTTGCTTCAACAATATAGACATCAATATCATATCATGTACTTAGAGTGCCATTTCTTGGTGGTTTTCCAAACAAATTATAACCTCAAAATGAATTATATTTTGCGTGATAATAAGTTCTAAAACTCGGTCGCGGTATAATTAATACATAATGAGAATTAGTTAGTGACACACAATAAAATAAGTATTTTCCTATATTTTTTTGACTCTGGGGCCACCAATGTACGGGCGTTGAGCAATGTCCTTTTAAGGGTGAGTAGAGTCTGCAACTATGGACATGACATATGTAACATTTCACTAACGAAAAATTTTATACCACAGTGTGGTTGTGTGACCTTCTTAGATTTTGCAATTCATTATTGACACGAGTACTTTTTTAAGTAATAAGTTACATACTTTCGGAAATAATAGACTGCCGAGCTGACGTTAGCCCAGCAGCGCCACAGCTTAAGCTTATTTCTAGAGATAACTAAGAAATATTATAGAGCAGTCTGTGTGGTAAACGCGAGTGTTGTCTTGCATTAAAACAAAGTTTTCACCTTTCATACATTGTCTGTGAACAGAAACAGGATGATTTGAGTATGGACTATGTTCAACGTAAGTGACGGCGGTTATGGTACCTCTATCCGAAATCACCAGCTACTTTTTACCTAGTATACTAAACGTGAGCCCCATAATGGTAAGTTTTATGGGTTCTGAAAAACGTTCTATTCCTCTTTTTGCACATCCATCTGTCGTAACTAAAAATTTTACTACTTTATCTGTAAAGAGTACGGTTCTCTGATTGTCCATTGTTCACTCCAAATGTTGACGGGTAAACCTTAATCGGCAGTGGCGGATTTATAAATTTGCCGCTCGTAGGCTATTCAATTTTTGCCGCCCCTACTGACCCCTAAAATTCGATACGCTAGTTTAGTTCACTATCATATTAATTACATTTATTCTATTAATGCAATTACAACTTTATGATTTGAGTTCTACAGTCTTCATTACATCGGTTTTTTTCTTTGTGAATTAGGGTATGGTTCTATCAGTTTCTAGATTATGTTTACAACCCACTATTTAGTGAAGAGTACATACGATCGAGCAAAATCAGCAGTGTGTACTAATTATAAGGTGGGGTAAGGTACGCCTTAAAAATACTTACACGTTGTTATTATGTTTATCAATTTTACATTCACAATGCTTCACTGGAAAGTATTATTAATAAAAATGCTTAAAAAAATCTCTTTGTCCCTTGTATATGAGATGGGATTTGAGATCACGACCTTTCACAATCCATAGAGCCATGGAGACCGAAAAACTACTCCGTGTTTCGGAAGGCACGTTTAGCCATTGTTCCGGCAGTCATTAATACCATCCAATCTGTATAAGAGCCGTGTGGATAGTCATGGCTCATCGTCTTTAACCATCCATAACGAAGACCTGAGCCCCTGCAGTGGAGACGTAACAGGACTGATGATGATAATAGAGCCATGCGAAATGCTATATCCAAGTTTATTTATTTTATTACATTCTACAATGTAGTACTAAGATATTCTTAAAAACAAAGCATGGAGTTTGGATAAAAGTTCTCCAAATTATGTTTTCGCAGGAACAAAGATAGACTATATAATGATTCATTTCCATTTGTTCCCGCGCCGCAACTCAAAACGACTACGTAAATACATAAGTACCTAGTTAGAAATAAATATTTAAATGTGAAATAATGTCATATAATTATTAAATTGAAATTGTAATATCGAAAGGCTATTGGAATATTTTAAGTATTAATTATCACATAAGTACCTAAATTTTACAGAGCGTTTAGTGATCTTTCATTTACGGATTACGTTCGTAAAAGTGTTCAGTATGGAAGAGATCGCCGTTCTTTTGCACATTATGTACCTATATCTTACTTTTTTGTGCGATAAATTGTATAAAGTCTACCAGTAGACTGTCTTAGTAGATTATGTAAGCCTCGAGCGTTAATTGTACGCTTTTGTGCAGTTAATGTTTCTGTCTTTCTAGCCTTCGCTGCTACAGAGCGTATTTTCATCAATGTTCAGGCAATCAACCCAAGCAGCCGAAATTTTGTTTTTTTACTAATATTTAAATTTTCAATAAAGATGAAAATAAATTTCAATTATAACGTTAAAGATGCGACTAGGAATGACGCACATGAGGTATTTAAGGAAAGATAAATCTCAGGATAACATGTTGGAATCTATGAAATGGCGGTATCTATAATGTAATATTGCTCTATTTTATAGTTAAACAAAAATAAATTCACATTTGAAAGTGTTTATTAAATATAATAGCATTTAACTTTATGTAATTACTAATTACTAACCTAAGAATAATATTTAAGTTATTATTATTCAAAACATGCAACGTTTCACAAACTTTATACTATACGTTTAGCCGCTTTTGCCATGGTATGATATGATGAACCAAAATATTTGATTAAATCTATACTTATAAAAAATCTGTAGAGAGGTCAATTCTGTACATTAAATATATTTCCAAAATAACTATCAGGGGGTGATTAGGGATCGATACTGATGCCAAAAATGCAATCAGTAAAATTTTTGTCTGTCTGTATAGCCGTTATAGAAACAAAAACTACTCGACGGATTTTAACGAAACTTGGTACAATTATTTTTCATACTCTTGAGCTGGTTATAGTATACTTTTCATCACGCTACAATCAATAGGAGCAGAGCAGTGAAGGGAAATGTTGGGAAAACGGGAGAAGTTACTCCATTTTTTAAGGTTCCGTCGCGTGTGCAACCTTAATGGTTAAAGCTACCCAGAAATCATGTATGACGGAAATGTTCTCCTTAAAATTATATAAAAATGTTCCACGACAGCATATGTCTATCTTTTATGGTTGACTCACAATAACACGTGTAACTCCCGATAGCTTGGCAGTTCGAAGCTTTCTGATTGTATTTGTCTATTGTCTACTCTTACGTTTATAACACTCTCGGTCATCCCTAATTAAAAAAGTTAACAGTATTAAGTATTCCATAAAAAGGATCATAGAAATCGGTATAGAAACACCAAAGTTATACATGAAATACGCTAATAATAAGCCATCGCGCGTAAATACTGAATCATGCTAGAAGGATTGTTTTTGTATAAGGTCGAGATCGCACAGGCAGGCGGCTTGCTTGGCGGCTAGAGGCTAGCGAGTAAATTCGTAATACGAACATTATCGAACGTTCGAGCAAGGCGCCAAGCGAGCAGTGCGGCCGGTCGCGAACGTTCGAGAATCGGTCGCCGCGCTCGACGCGTCCCGCGGCCGAAGGTATAAAAAGGCGGAGCGTCCGAGCGCGAGCTTCATACAATTTTTGCCTGTATATTATAAATGTGAAAGTTTCTTTGTTTGGATGTTTAGATGTTTGGATGTTTGTCGGTCAATCACGTCGAAACTACTGAACGGATTTTAATGAAATTTGGTATACAGGTATTAGCTGACTTAGATAATAGGATTTTTATCCCACTTAACATTTCCCTAGGGTCCACGCGGGCGAAGCCGCTGGTAAAATAATATTAACGTATTCATTGATCGAACAATTAAAATGATCTTATAGTTATGTATGCTAGAGTCATTAACTAGAGTAACGTGGTCACACCCAAAATATTAGAAATTGGATAATAAAACACACTATTCGTATAAAATAAATATGTAAGCAATATCTTTATTTCTAAAGTTATTTTACCTTCTAGTCTGTACTTCTTTAACGACCCATTAATGAAAAGTACACATACGGAACATTCTGCAATATTCAGCGTAACTGATAGATATGTATTTTGTAGTCGTATTGTGTATTTTCAATTTACACAAATATACAAAGTGCAAGCGTGTAATATTAAAAGCAAGGTTTTCATAAAACATTCCTAAATTGTTCATCAGCACGTATTTAATTAGAAATTTGA